ATGCCGGGCCCCGCCGCCACGCCACTCGGGCTCCGCCCCGCTCCCCCGGTCACCTTTCCGCTCACCCCGCCTCCGCCTCGGCCCGGCCCCGCCTCGGCCCGGAAGACGCCGCGCGGTTCCGTGCGGGTGGGGGCCGAAGGCCTGCGCGGGTCCAGCCCAACCGCTGGAAGCCCAGATGAGCGCCAGTCCCGCAGCCTCCTCTGGCCTCTTGCGGGGGTGAGCTGGGCTCTCCCAGCGACCTCTTTGGCACCTGCTTGCCTGCGGAATGAGCCGCGGAGCATCGCTTTTCGTTTCCTCGCCGGCGCTCGTGGGCCACATCTCCCCCCCCGGGAGCCGTTCCCTCCAGCAGAGTCTAAGGCAGTGCTTCCAGAAGTGCAGGGCGGGCACATGTCACCTGGAGCTATACCATATCCTTGTGGGTGGGGCGCAGGTATCTCTGAATGGTCAATGCGCAGCCTGGGTATTTTGTGCGTTCTACTATTTTGAGTGCTTAAAGAAATGTAATAGCCCATCCCCCCCACTCCACCCCCAAGGCTCCCACAGTTGGCAGGCCACCTCCCTTTCCCTTCAATAAAGCCAGACAAAGCAGGGTCTCTTTGATTTTTTTTTTTTGTAAAACATTCTTTTATTAAAAGAACAAGTGCTGTTTACGAACTGCCCTTCGTACAAATAACATCCGTTATACAAAGATACAAGATCCGGGTTATGCACAATTCCAGGCTTGGAGGTGGCAGGGGGGGCATTGCCTTTTGGGCTGAGGATATAAAGGTTTTAGAAAGAATGAAAAAGGAGCCCTGGGTTTGCAAACCATGGCTTCCCCTCCCCGCTCCCCTAGGAAGGGTCTGCTACATTGAGACGGGCTGGGATGGAATGGGGGTGGGGTGGGTCTGGGTTTGAGTCTCCAGTCCTGCCACCTAAGTCCCAAGTTGGGCTGGAGGAAGCAAATAAAGGGCAATAAAGGCACCCGTTAGTCCCCAGCTTCTCAGTAGATCAAGTCAGAGTGGTCAGGAGCTAAGACACTTTTAATCTGATTGATGTAACTGGAAAAAGCCAGGGTACCGGGCCCCACCTTCCTCCATATTCTCAACTGACTGATGTGTCTTTAATCCCTCCAGACACTTGTCCCTAGGAAAATAAGTTGGGATAAAGAAGAATTGGGACTAAGCTGCCTACCCCTAACTCTGGCCTACCACACCAAGGAAGATGCTGGAAGCTGGCAGGGAGGGCCTATGCCTTTGAAAACTTGTCTGCATTTCTAGTTTGGGAAAGGGAAGTGTGAAGATCACCCTTAATCAGAGCTGCCTCTGGCTCTGACCCCTCACTTGTCTGGGTTTTTTTCTAGGAGTACTTCCTTAGAACACAGAACAGGAATGGCAGGAGTGCTCTCCTCAGCCTCAAGGTAAGGGCACCTGGAGGCAGCAGTAGACCCAAGGGCCTGAGGGGGAAAACTCACACACAGGAAAATCTTTTAAAAAGCAACCTTTAAAGTGTCATATTGTCCATGGAGAGGATCCATCAGCTCTGAGCTAAGACAGTCAGTGCTACATAGATACCCTCCCATCCTGGGCACAGCCCTGCACTCACACCATACATCACACACACAAGGACAGCCAAACAGCCATGTGGAGGTGGTGCAGTGGGGGGGCGGGAATCAGAGGACCAGGAGGCCAGGTCCTGGCTCTGCCCGCGCTCCTGTCCCTCTGAGGCTAGGAGGTATCCCCTTTGAAGTGAGGAGCTGGCTCAAATGACCCCTAAAGACAGGTCCCTTACAGCTCTGACACACATGCACCAGTTGTGACCTCAAGGCCAGTGGCTCTGCACGCACACCTCATTCACATCTCCAAGTCGAGGGTGATGACACATGAAACTCCACTCTCATACATTTTCAAACTCCACTTCTGCCCTGCAAACCACATCCTTTCCCTCCCCTAGACAGTGATCTACAAATCTGCATCCCTTCCCACTCCCCATCCAAATTGTCTGGAAAAAGGGACGGAGTCTGAGAGAAGAGGGTTAGGTCAGCATAGCCATCCCCCTACATTGCGACCCTGCTCCTTCCTGAAGATCTCTAGACCTTTCTTATTATAAAGCTCCCTAAAAGATGAAAATATACTACCTCTCTCCTGCCCCTCCCCACCCAAATTGAGGGACAGCACCAATCCATACTCAGCCTAGGTCCCACCTTCAAATCTAACCTGACTACCTGCTGCTGCACCCAGCCTGGGAAAGCTGGAAAACAGACTCTTGGAGATGAGAACCCCAGACTCAGGTGCAGGGAGGGAGGAAGGAGGTCATGGTTCCAGTGCACTAAATCATTTGGACCTCTACTCCCTGCTACAGCAGCCTTGGGCCAGTTTACTTCCCTCGCCATCCAGAACAGAAGCTGACTTCAGCTCCAAGTGGGTTGGCCTTGGGCAAGGGAGTGGGTATGAATGAACAACTCTTCTAAGAATCTCTGAAGGTTATTTTTCTTTTCAGTGATTTGGGGGCAGGGAGTTATATAGCTTAATAGATGAAGATTAATAAAATGCTGAATTCTATCATTTCTTTCTAACTGATATTTAGCATTAATAAAAAGTGAGTATTTCTGAGGTCATCACAACTGCCACCCCCCTCCCCCCAAGCCCTTGCAAGTGCCTAAGAAATTGCCTCTGAAAAGGTTTCCCACTCACCCCCCTCCATTATCAGCTCCCTAACATATTACAAAGTCTTATCAACAGTAATATTAATATTATTTTCAGTATCAGAAAAAAACCAGTTGAGCAGCACAGGCAAAAATATATCTGCACTACGTTTCTGTCATTGCCAAAAATATACACATCTTCTTTTCTTTATTTAAAAAAAAAAACCAACAAAAACCCAAACAGAAACACACACACACACAAAATGCACACATGCAAAGAGACTGACAAGACATGAGCATCAGGGAAAGCTGGAAATGCCTTCTCCTGGCTCCAACCCCAGTGCAACTGAAACACAGACACAGACACAGGCTTCAACCTTGCCCCTCTCCTGGCTGTCCCACTGGCCCCTAGGCCTTTGCCGCCAAAGCTCTGGGCAGGTGGGGACCCTTGAAGGTGAGAATCTAAGCACTGCCCACTATACCCTGCGGGAAGTAGCTGGTGGGTGAAGGGACAGTTGTTAGGTCAGCTTAAGCTTAAGTCTCCCCTGGTTGGTGAGGGTGGGGGTAGGGTGCAGGAAGTGGGCTGGCTAATTCTGGGAGATCTTCACTAAAGGAAGTGGCACTTTACCCTCCCTTGCCCTGTCCCCTAATCCCTGGGGCTCCCCTTGTGCCAGGGAATCAGGACCAACTATCAGTGGGGGCAGGGGAGCTGGGGCAGGGAGGGGCACTGAGACCATGTGGGATCTGGGGAAGGGAAGGCAGGATATTACCCTGATTCAAAGCCCTCAGCCCCCAGTTACTCTCCAATATTGGAGTACTGTTCTGGTTTTTGTTAACCATTCATGCCCCAGAAAGGGACCAAAGTTGGTGAGGTGGGGAGGGTGCAAACAAGAGCTGGGAGCTCTCCTTCTGAGCACTGCTCCTATCCCTGCCCTCGGCTGCCCCAGGTAGAGGGACACACACACACACACACACACACACACACACACACACACACACACTCTGAGTCAGGCAGCTAGCTCCATCTCCCCACCCTCGGCACTCCTAAATCCAATAGTGCAAAACGGGGCAGGGTACCCAGGGGGCTGGGCCTCCCCCCCACCCCACCCCTTGCCCAACCCATCATTGGGCTCCCCCCAGAGATGGGGAGGCTTGAGCTGAGTTTGAGGCCAACCTGCCCCTTCCTCAGCCTCCTAGTCTGTGGGCTTTTACAAGCTCAGCTTGTGACCCTTGTTGGGGGGCAGGGGAAAGGGACTGGTGAGAAACAATCTAAGGGATCCCTCCTGCCATCTGCCCAAGTTGGGAAGAAATTGCAGGTACAGTAGGGCCACCCCTTCTTCCATAACAGATTTCTGCGCAGGGACAGGCCCAGGGCCTGTCCCCCACTTCTCCCCATGCAAGTGCTGATCCATTTTATGTGGAGGGTCCAACCTACCCCCACTTATGCCATGGCCCACTTTGCTCTTTGAGGAACCGCAACATATCTGCTGAGAGTAGGGGCTCCTAGGTTGGCTTGGAGCCTGTCCTCCCTCTGAACCCCTCACAATGGGTCTGTGCAGAGGGGAAAGAGGCCAGATAGAAGGAGCTCCCCTCTTGGTCTCAGTCCTCAGCACCACGTGCGCCCCACACTCGCCAGGTCTCAGCATGTGCTCTGGGCTGGGACTCTCCAGGGTCTGGGCGCAGGTACCTGGTCCAGGCTAGAACCCCCTCAAACCAGGATTGCCCCCTCCACTTTGGGGATCAGAAGAGGTGTGGGTGGATTTAGCCTTTTTCCTGGTTGGCTGAGGCTCCTTTGTCAGCGGTCTGGAAAGAGAGGAAGGGAGGCTGGGGCTTTGGGAAGTGTCTAGTCCTAACGCCCAGTTGAGAACAGCTCCTTGATCAAGAAAGCTTTTGTAGGGTACAGTGAGGGAGCCCTGACTTGGGCTCTGGCAGGTGTACACCAAAGTCAACAACGTGTTGGGGATGGGGGTTGCTCTGTACAACGGTGCCTGGTTAAGCAGGCATGTTCCAGTCAAAGCCAGCACCCTGTGTTCCTGTCAGTATAACCTCAGAGGAAAGAGGGAGAGCGTTTCTGGAAATGGCCTACCCAGAGCATCATCTCTTTCTACTCAGAGAGGAAATAGCCTTTTCTAATTGGTCTTCCCAGAGGAACGCTCTTTTCTAATTGGTCCTTTTACTGTTAGTCCATGCTCAGAGTGCATCTTTATTGGATCTGCAGGAGGTTACCCCAGGTTCTAGCAGAAGCCCTGGAGTCTGGAGCAGGGTGCTTTGCTGACCTAGGGGTCACTTCCTCCTTCTAATGATGCATCTGTTATACCTTCTGATGCTCCACCTCTGCCCATCCCACAGCAGGAAGACAGGGCAGCCCCGGGCCCCTTACTCACCCCTCCTTTGGGGCCACTGCCACTGCCGTCTGCCCCAGACAGGCTGAGGAAAGGGTTGGTCTGAGCAGTCAGGACTGGAGGGCCGCCTGCTGCTGCTACTGCTGCGGCTGCAGCTGCTGCAGCCATGAGACTTGTGTTGTTGCCGAGGGAGGGAGCCACCAGGGCTCCAGCGGGCAGCAGGGGTGGGGCAGATGCTGCGGGCAGTAGGCCAGGAGTGCCCGCTGACAGCAGTGGGGTAGAGCTTCCTGCCAGCAGGCTGGCCATGGGCAGCTGGGAGCCCCCGGCCATCTGCAGCCGCTGCAGCTCCCGCTTCTGCTGGATCTGCTGGATCATCTGGTAGACAACGGTCTGGTGTTCCTGCAAGTAGGCCAGACTGCTCATTGGCCAGTGGTCCCTGAGGCCAGCTTGCCCTGCTTGGCCCAGGCCCCATCCCATCACACTGGAGGCAGGAGATGGTCAAGGTTCTCTTGTCTCTAACTCCCCACTCTGGGCCTCAGTCTCCCCATGTGGACAAGAAAGTGGTTGCACACCATCAGGGTTTGTCAAGTGGGGCAATACCGGCCAAGCACAGGGTGCTTAACATCCCCGGCCCCACTCCAGTCAATAAGTCAGTTTCTTAGTCACTATAATAACAACAAATGCTCCCAGAGGTGGTAAAACCTGAAGTTGGAAAACATAAAACTAGGTCAATAATTTTCAACTCCCCTTCTTTTTTGTTTTTCATTTCAGATTCATTTATTTTTGCTTTGAGTAGGCAAAGCATTTTCAAGTATTCTAAAAACCAAAACAATATATCGTGGTTTACCTTAGGAAATCTTGCTCCTACCCGTTTCTATCTGGCCCCTAGAGATAACCAGTTGAATTAGATTTTTGTGTCTCTTTCTGATGTTTCTTTATGTGAAAATGATTATTGTTTATATATACTCAACTCCCTCCTTTATTTTTTAAAGGGTAATGCCTTTAATATGTTTTTAAAAAAGTTGATTTCAGAGAGAGGAAGGGAGAGGGAGAGACAAAAACATCAGTGATGAGAGAGAATTATTGACCAGCTTCCTCCTGCATGCCCCTACTGGGGACTGAACCCACAACCCAGGCATGTGCCCTGACCAGGAATCGAACTGTGACCTCCAGGTTTATGAGTTGACGCTCAACCAATGAGCCACACCTGCTGGCTCAACTCCCTTCTTTTTAAAAGACACAACTCCTTTTCTCCAAAGGAAATCTTAGCATAGCCCAACATATAAGACAGACCAAAAAGGGGCTGTTCCGGTTGAGGGGTTGTCACCTGCTCAGCCAACTCTCCACACAGACTCTGAAGTTTCCCCCTAAAGATCCTTGGGCGTGGGATTGGAAATGCTCAATAACAAGACTTGCCACCCTCTAGACCTGCTCTCACTAGGATGTGATCAGGGCCACTACAGCATCCCGTCCCCAATGCCTAGGGGGTTCTGAGAGCAACCCTTAACCCTCTTGTCCCATAGGGGATGCTCCAGTCCCACAGGTGCAACCTCAGCCCAGCCTGGGGCTGCTCTCCCTCCCTAAGCTGGCCCAGACTCTCTGAGATGGGTGGGCCCTTCTAGCAGAGCTNCTCAGCCCAGCCTGGGCTGCTCTCCCTCCCTAAGCTGGCCCAGACTCTCTGAGATGGGTGGGCCCTTCTAGCAGAGCTGGAGAGGGGAGATGGCCTGGGAAGGGAGGGCATTACCGGGGTCAGCTGTGGGGAGGCTAGGAGCTGCTGGAGCTGTTGGAGCTGCTGCTCTTGTTGCTGCAGGAGGTGTCTCTGCTGCTCGGTTAGGCTGAGGCAGGGGGACAAAATACAGACCATGGGAAGGGACAGGGAAACACTACCCCCCCAAGCTCCCAGACTCCCTCAGACCCAGGTGGAGACAGGCAGGGATGTGCAATTTTAGAGGACTAAAGAGAAACAAACTGAGCTCAGAGAGTATAGCAAGAGGTAAGTTAGATGGAAAAACTTTCCCAGAAGGAAAACCTAGATTGGGGTACAAGAAATAAACAGTTTTGTCTAGAGAGTTGCTGTCCAAAGGGCACTCATATCTAACATCTAGGGAGTACCTGGGGCCAAGAGGTGACTAGATTTTATACCCTATAAGATCGGAGGACATTTTTCCTTTTGGGGGACTGTGGGTGTTTGGGGGGAGTCCCTCCCAGAGCCAGCCTCCCCGTTCCCTTCCCCAGACTGAGCTCTCCCTCACCTGTTGAGACAACCTGGCAGCTGCAGCGTGGGGGCCCCACCAGCCTGGCTCAAGCCTGCAGGGTTGGGGGCAGCAGCCCCATTCAACCCCCCAAGGAGCCCATTGAGGGGCAGGGCCCCGCTGCCCGCCAGCCCCCCCAACAGCCCCTCAGCCATGGGCATAGCCCCCAGCCCCACTGCCCCTGGTGCCCGGCCCAGCCCATTCTGTGGCTGGGTTGGGAGCGGAGCAGGGGCCCCAGGCAGGGCCAGGGGCAGAGTAGCAGGGCTCTGCTGGAGCAGGGGCAGCGGTGGGGGCGTGCTGTGGAAGGACAGCGACGAGCTGCTGCGGCTTGGGCAGCCTGAGTGTGGGTCCTGGGGAGGGAGGGGGAAGGGTGGGGTCAGAGGAGCAGGGGGCCAGCATGACCTTTCTGGCCCCCAGCCCAGCACCCACCAACATTCTGATAGAGCACAGCCACCCCCACCTCACCCCCAGGCAGAGCCACCCAGAAGGAAGAAGCAAGGCTCAGGATTAAGGCTAAGAATCTTAAATGTCTACACAAATCATGTTTACAGACCACTTCCTGGGGGCCCAGCGCCTGTCACTATCCTAGTTTACCGCTAAACATCAATGATGGTAGTGAGCATCTAGTAAACCAGACCCAGAGTTCAGTGCTCAACCTGCACTATCTCATTCTTCCCGCTTCAGAGGTGACCACTGAGTCTTAGGCTCAGCAACTCTGCAGACAGCTAGGGTGACAGGCTCAGGTTCAAACCTATGTCCACAATTCAGTGGCTTGGGTGGCTTCTCTGCCTCTGTTTACTCACTTATAACATGGGGGTAAACAGTAGTGCCTATTCCATAACTACCCATTCCACAGTGAAGACTAAACAAACCAATGTTTTAAAAGTCTCAGCACAGGACATGACAAAGGGCAAATGTGCAATTGATCTTAGTTATTATGATTATTACTGCCCAAGTCACACAGTAAGTGGCAGAGAGGACAAGAAACTAGTTTGCTTAATTTCAATAATAACCACACATAACAATAGTAAACTGCTCCCCCAGCCACCACCAATTACACAGGAATCCTTTTGTGTGAGGCACTGTAATAAACCCTTCACAAATACTTCTCACAGAGGCCTTCCCTAACCACCTTATATCTACATAAGAATCCCACCCTCCCATTCTTCCTCACAGCCCTCAAATTATTCCCATTTTAGCACTTTCCCCGGTTTGTAATTACTGACTGTTTTGTTAGAGTTAGCCTATTTTCAGGAGGACTGCGTCCGTTTTCCTCACTGATTGCTTTACCAGTGCCTGGTACTAAGTGGAGACCTCATAATTATTACTTATCTAATGAAGGAATTAAAGGATCAATCAGCTCATTGCTCAGCCAATCACTTAACTGTTCAGCCTCCAATAGCTGCAGGGTGGAGGTGGAACCAGGAGGCCCTTGCGCCTCCCCTCTCCCGCCCTTCCCGAGTGCCCCTCCCCGCAGTGCCCACCTCCGAAGACGTGGACAGCGAGTTGTCCAGGCCGAGACTGTTCTTCCCCGTGGGGCTCTTGCTGGTGCTCAAGGAATCGCTGCTGCCGACTGAGGGAGGGGGGATCAGCGAAGGAGGTCAGGGCTGAAATCGGAGCTTGTTCCTAGAGCCCGGCAGAGGCCCCCACACCCGGGCTGGGTGAGCTCCCCTTACCTTGGGGAGGCAAGCCAAAGGGCCCAGGAACAGGGCCATTGGCGGCAGGCAGGACGGCAGGCAGGGCGGGGAAGGGCACAGAGAGTTGCACGTTGAGAATCTGCAGCCGCTCCTTCTTGGCCGTCAGGCTCAGGATCTGCTCCTGAAGCCGCTGGTTTTCCTTCTGCAGCGCGTGCAGCGCCTTCAGCATCTCCACGACTGCAGAAAGAGGGCGAGAGCGCCTGAGGGAGAGGCGGGGCGATGGCTGGGGGCGGGGTCAGG